CGGCAGATTTTTTCGGTAATGTGCGTAGAAATTATTTTAAAACTTTATATTTTGTCCAAAAAAAGATAAAAATCCGGAAATTTCTTTCAAATTTCGATGGGCTTATATTTTTTTTGGACATCTCAAAAACACGTTTCCCCAGGTCCAGTGTTTTTTGAAGTTTTATGTATTTCAGTTTTAGATTCGTTCTGGCTTGCTTATTACTATTAACCCATTGGTTCTTCGGGCAGAAGTACTTTGCCAAGACTCTAGCTCTTTGGAGATTCAGCGCCTCACCACTTCGTTTCCAAGCATTGTCATTTCCAGGCAACTTAGCATATCCCTCATCACTTGTCCCCTTAGCATATCTGTCAATTTGTAACTACAAATTTGGCATTTGCGAAAAATTGCCATAAGCAAGGGCAATGAGGGATATGCCAAGTGAGTACAGAGGAATAGAAAAGAAAAAGTTGCTTTTGAGGTGCACCACTTTTTTCATCGTTTTGTCACCAGTTTCACATTTTTCCAAGCGGATCCCAAAAAACTGACGATGATAATGATGACGATGACGTAACCCCTCTCTTTTTCCGGTTTTTGCAGGAAGCAGCTTGCAGTTTCACAGCCTTTCAGTTCTCTCCTTTCCATTTTTCACACATTCTCATTTTTGCAGTCTGAAAACCCCTTTGAGTTCGATTTATCTATCCGGAATTTAAGCGTAATTTGAATTTGGACAATTTCTGTCCTCATTTTTTCCTTTCCAGTTTGTTGTTTGTCTCTACTAATCCACACAGTTTAGTTGGGAATCTCGAATTATCCAGTGTAATTCGACGAGAAAATAGGCTAGGACCAGGAGGACGGACGTCAGAATCGCCAGAGAGCTTACCACACCACGCAATGCAGCCCTGGTAAAACAACTGGATTCCGTACTTTTTCACCAAACCCGTCGACCCTGACACCCCTAACCTTTAACTAGTTCAGCAATTAAGAACATATGAATGGATTTTTTTAAGTGAACAACCACTCGGCCAGCTTTGGAATATGGCACACATACACGAAACACGTGGTAGGTACGAACTGAAAATGTGCAACTCAGGATCGGAGGACCTGGTTTAGTTGTGCCCAACATGTCAGACACCACTAAAATGGGATATCAGTGTGGTTTTAAACTTAATGGTTTTTTTTTCTTTAAAATAATTTTTGCGATTTCTCATGAAAATACAAAATTTTCACTTTTTCATTTCCAGTAACTTCGCTGTTTTTCAGCCATTATCTACCCTTTGAACAACATTTATAATTCTTGTCAAGCTTTAGTAGCTTTAGTAAGTCATATAATGTCAAATAATTACTTGATTTTATCGTAGATAAACGGTAATAAGCTGAGGGCGGTTTTTAGCTGATCATTTTCGGTATGCATTTTAAACATAATTTTTTTTAAACCTTGTAAATGCAGCGGAGTAGCTACCGGGATGATTGCTTATCAGTGTAGAGTCCTTAGTGCCGCTGTGTTAAAAATGATTAGTAATGCCTTCTGCGTGTATTTTAAACTTGCTAACTTTTTAAAAAATTATCACTAACTGTTCACAGCCAAGCATTTTTGCTGTAATGTTATCAGCTTTTAACACTTTTTGTGGTGGCTTACCGATGCACGGAATGCAGAAGCAAAAGAAAATTGTTCGTTCCTGATGGCTAAAAATACTTTCCAGTCCTGTGCATCTCAACTTATTTTTGGCGCAAAATGATTCCGCCTAATTTTGACACATTTTCAACAAAGTCGCTTCCGTGCTGTTTTTGATTTTGAGCTTTTTTGTGTTCTCTGTTTTTGTGGAAAATGTCCGTTAATTTCTTGTGTATTTCGCTGTTTTAGAGCGACTGAGTATTATTTTCATCGGTTTTGAGGCTATTTTAACTCCGTTTCGATTATTTTTTATGGTTTATAGCTAAATTTTATGGATTCTCTCCCTTTTTTTCATAAAAAAAGATTTTGTTTGCTTTGCAGAGTGAGGCAAATGTCTACTCGATGTGCCTTTTGCTCGTTGTACATAAAGCGTTAACAGTGGGCAAATTTGCGGCGGACAGTGAATTATTCACTTCCCTCTTTTCCTCGTTTCATCCCTCAACAAGAATGTCTGTAATTCAAAAGATAGCACTTTTGCATACTTCAATCAAATTAAAGACGGTAGATAAGGGCGAAGATTGCCGAGATAATAGTGTGCAGCTAAAGTGCCAGGAGGGGGATGGACCAAACGGGTCGGGAAGCAAATGTGTGGAAGATAATTGAGATGAGGGAAAAGAGCTTCGCGAATTTAAGTGAGGGAAAAGAGGCTGCTAAGGGAAGCCTTCTGTGCCTGTTTTAGAGGAATTTCTTGACTCATCTAATTCTTTTTTTTTTTTTGTTTTTCGAATTTTCTGTCACTCCATTGGTATTCGCATGAATTAGTGAGTGATATTCCTCAAGAAAGGAACCGGTTCTTATAGCAACTCCGGAAGGGATGGCACGTACAGCCATGAAAAGACCTCGAAACCTTGGAAGTAAGCAAATTAGATGAAAAGAGCCTAACATAACTGCGGCTTAGGTGCAGTTTTTCGCAGAGTCACCGAGATTTTTATGCCGATACCTCCGGATAATTAATACAGCCAAAAGCTTTTTGTCAAGAAATCACCGCTTAATTTAAAAATCGTCATTTAATTTGAAATGTAATGAGAAAAATTAATAATTTCTTAGCATACTATATGTAATTGTCACATTGTTCTTTAATATTGAATATATATGTGATAATTTCTTAAGTAAGAACATGTAGTTGTTGCGTGAGTTGATTATATGATTAACGAGTTTCTTTATTATAAACTTTTTATAATGATTAATGGTTATTAATCATACATAATCAATAACTGGATATAAATAAACATTGTATATAACAATTGTTAGGTAAATAGTAATTGTTTATATGTAATATAAAGTATAAATAATACATATAATAATTAAGCATTATCATTTATATATATTTGAGTATAAACAATTGTATGGAATGTTCATTTTGTTAACAGGTTTTTTACGTTTTTAATAAAATTTTTTGATAACATCGTTAATTAGTGGATCAAAAAAAAAGTATTTTGCAAGTATCTGTCATAAAAAATTACTGAAAATCTTCCTTTTCCTTGTAAGACTCCGGGTAGCCTGGTCGGAGATCCAAATGATTTTAATGTAATTGCTCAAACGTGTGACTCATTTCTTGTTTAACGAATCAATGTGTGTAATGAAAGTTAGGATTTTGTGTATCCTTAGAATTTTGTCTATCCTTAGAAGTTTTCGGTAAAACGTGTGCGCGTCGCTTATCATCTGTCTTTGATCGGATCCGGTTGCCGTAGATATATATCATTAAATCGTTGCATTTTAGGTGCTGGGAGACGGTTTGGAGTAACTCAAATGACCACCTGGTAGATGCCGTCACTGGTTGTATTCGGACGACGTTGGAATATTGCAAGCGATGATTTTGTTTTTCCGTCGTTATCCGAAACATTGGTTCGATTGGCTTGGTAAATTTTTTGTTTTTTTCCCCCAAATTTTATCAAATTTTAATTATTTTTAAAAAGTGAATGCTTGCACACATGAATTTTCGTGCATTTTGTATTACTTACATTCGCTTTTAAGTATATAATAAAAATTAAGTTCTAGAAAATTGGCCTCTTCCCTTGGGCAAAATTCCTTAAACTTGTCGTTGGAGTCAGTTTTCTCCGATTTCTGTCGCGCATATGGGCGCAATCACTTTTGTAAAAGTTCGTCTCAGGAATCAGTTTTTTTTCTCTAAATTCTATCGTAGGGTTTTTTTATGAACAAAACCAAGCTTGTCAAGATTTGCCAGAAACATTAGCATAAAGAAAAATAAAAAAAAAAAAAAAAAAACGAGTTTTGTGATGCGAAAATTTAGGCTTAAGTTATCATAATACATACATCGAATAGACGTTTGGTACAAACTGAAGGTATGCAGCTCAGAATCGAAAGGATTGATAAACAGGTTTTACCCAGTGTGTAGGATCATTCCAGTAACATCACTAGAATGGGATACCAGCACACTGATGATTGTTCTGGTGGTCCTGGTATTCTCGGCACTTTATTTTGCAGCGCAACTGTTTATTAATAGTTTGGTTGATAATGTCATAAATTATTATGATTTCAGGGTAACAACAACATG